CTATACGAAAGGCACTTAAAGGACTCTTTGTGCAGAATTGGTTTTGAAAAAAATGAGATTTTGTTAAAGAATCTTTAAAGGGGCTAAACGAATTTCCTTTTACGAAAAAAGCTTTTCACAATGCGGCAGCTCCAGTTCTGCACAAAGAAGTCCTTTAAATACTCCTCAGGAGACTTGCTCCTGAGTGTATTTTATTCCTCAAAAACTGCTTTGTTTTTTCTAGTGTCAACTCATTTTTTAGGGAACTCCCAGGAGAAAGAAGAAGATTGTCTTCAAAACCGCTGCTGCCGATGACAAGAAAGTTCAAAGCAACTTGAAGAAACTTTCAGTGACAAATATTCCTGGTATAGAGGAGGTAGAAAGATCTCATCCATTTTCTTTTTGCTTTGTCTTTTTCTTGTTCATTTTTCTCAATAGTGACCTTGCAGGTTAACATGATCAAGGACGATGGAACGGTCATTCATTTCAACAATCCAAAAGTTCAAGCATCTGTTCCTGCAAATACGTTTTCGATCACTGGAGCTGGAGAAAACAAACGTTTGTTTTACCTTTCCACGAGTAATTGCCGTATCCATTTATTGAGACCATGGCGTTTTTCTTTTTTAGAGATTACTGATATGCTTCCTGGAATACTTAATCAACTTGGACCAGAGTCGCTCACACATCTTAAGAAATTGGCCAATAATGTCACAAGTCAGTTCAAGCCTGCACCTGCTGATGACGATGTTCCAGGTAAATTTTGGCTCAAGAATCAAAGTGTTCATGTGGCAATTCGACGCAAAAATCAAGTTGACCGTTCCTGCATGTTGAAGTTTTAGTTAGGTGTTCAGCGAGTTGCTGTATGGGCTTCATAAAATTACAAGAAGATTCCTTTTTTTACTTAGCAGCATAATTAGATGTATCCAGGGTATAGTTTTCCGGCATTCATGCAAATTTGGCTGAAGTTGGATAATGGTGTTGGAGCCATCAAATTCTTCATCAAAACTGTATTTTTTTTGCCCCATTAGGTCATTTTCTGATGGCATGCTGCTGAAAGTCAGGCAGAGGTGTCCCTCATGTCCTTTTTCCTAACCTGACGACATTTTGCTGTGTTTTAACAGCTGCGCGAGATTGATGACGCAAACAGTGCGCGGATGTAGCAGGCTTTTTCTCTTATTGGGCTTTGATTTTCATTTTCATTTCTTTTCTCAAGTAATTTACCTTTTTTGTCATCTTTGGCATTAATCCCGCCGGCGGAATTTCCTTTGGAGGAATTGTCTAGCGTTCTCTTTTGTAAACGCGAGTTTCTTGAACATAGCAGATTTCGAATCTGATATAAATGAAATGAAACAAAGTCAAGGCTAGTACTCACTACACCTATCTGAAGGAATCCTAACAATATGCGTTGATTGCATTAGTTATTTGCTTATTCGTGAAATCCTGAGGTGCGCTTC